GCATGGTCACTGCAGCCAAGGCTGTCCCCAGCCTTCACACCCCACCCAGTCCTTCTGTGCCTGTTAGCACAAGGACCTTGGGAACTCCTCCACCCCCGTGTCACAGAGTGATCCCCTCACTCTGCAGGGACCTCCTGTGCTGTCCTTCCAGCAGATATCAGGCAGGTTGAGGTCCCCCATGAGAAGGAGTGTCCGAGACCCTGAGGCTGTTTCCAGCTTTCTCTAAAAGGCCTCAGTGACTTCCTGGTCAGGTGGCTGGTAGAAAACAACCATAGTAGTGTTATACATAGAATCATTTAGGTTGGAGGAGCCCTCTAAGATCATTTAGTTCAACCACCAACCCAGCAATGCCAAGCCCAGCACTACTCATGCCCCAAGAGCCAAATCCACACAGCCTTTAAATCCCTGCAGGGTTGGTGACTCCACCACTGCTCTGAGCAGCTGTGGCAGGGCTGGACAACCCTTTCTGGGAGGAAGTTTTCCCTAATATCCAACCTAAACCTCTCCTGGTGCAATTTGAGGCTACTTCCTCTTGTCCTGTCCCTTGTTCCCTGGGAGCAGAGACTGACCCCACCTGGTTCCACCCTCCTGTCAGTGAGTGGTGGAGAGCAAGAAGGTCCCCCCTGAGCCTCCTTTCCTCCAGACTGAGCCCTCCCAGCTCTTACAGCTGCTCCTGGTGCTCCAGACCCTTTCCCAGCTCCTTTCCCTTCTCTGGACACACTCCAGCCCCTCAATGTCTTTATTTGAGGTGGGGTCTCACCAGAGCCCAGCACAGGGGGATGGTCACAACCCGAGTCCTGCTGGCCATGTCTGGCCTCAGGGAAAGCACTTACTGCTCTCCTCCACTTGCAGGGGCAGCTTCCCCTACAGCAGAATCATCTGGAGTTGCCCATCTCGCAGTCTGGACATCCCCAGAGCACAGGTGAGCTCATCCCTGGGGTTTGTGCTGCTGGCAGGTGGGGGACAAGCACGGCCATGGACCAGCCTCGCTGACTTCCTGGGCTCCTGCAGGATGCTGTGAACCCTTTTCTCCAAAGTGCTTGTGACTCCCACAGGCTGCAGGGAGGTGGGGATGTCCCTCTGGGACAGCCTTGGCACTGACACACATACAGACAAATCCCACCAAAGGAACTTTATTGTGTGCATTTCAAAAGGGATCCCTGTTGCAGGGACACCTTTTTGGTGTAATTGGTGTTCAACAGGGAGAGAGGATGAGACACAACAACCACAGGTCCTGATTGGAGGAATTCTGACCACCCAGACAGGGTTGGTTTTTACCCTTGTGATAGTTTTGGTCTAGGCCTTCCTGGTGACCAGTTTGTAACCAAGGAAGTGGCCAAGTACCCAGTATTCCATACAATTTTTACGTAACCCAGAGTATAAATAAGTCGGAGATTAAAGACCTCGCTCTCTTCTCTTCCAGCGAGGTTCCGGGACAGTGGGTCCCTGCGTTGGTCTCGCTTATCTAAGGCTGAGGCCTGCAGAATCCACCGTCCTGCCACGTGGAGGTTTGGAGAGTGCTGGCCGTGTCTGCCAATCCTGCTGTTCTAAGGGACGTGGTGAGATCTGTTTTGTTAGTTATTAGTATAGTTCTTGAGTTTGATCTAGTATACCTGTTCGGTGTCCCTTTTGTTCCCTTTCATCCCTTTTTTCCCCTTTCCCTATCCCTATGGGGGGTAGATCCCCTTTTACTGTGTATATAGCATCTTAACTGTATATAACTGTAATTTACGTAAATATAGATATATTTTTATATAAGCAGCCTGACTTTGGGTTCTTTAATTTTTTAAAGTTTTTTTTCCTTTACCCTAAGAGAAGAAGGGAGGGGGGGGAGAAGGCTGCTGTCATGACTTTTGGGCATTTGGCAGGGAGTCAGGACCAAACCATCACAACCCTTGAGAGAAATGCAGTGTTGGACAGAGGTCCAGAGAGGTAATGAGACCTCTGCCCTTGGAGACCCTGAAACACTCAGATGAACAAGGTCCAAGAACACCGAAGGCAGCCCTGAGGTCAGCCCTGCTCTGAGCAAGTGGTTGCCACAGAAACCTCCACACGTTCCTTCCAACCTCAATCTTTCTGTAAGTCTGAACTCTCCAGGTCCCCTAAAAAAGCCTTATTGTACTCCTTCCTGTTCATCAGGGACATATTTTCAAACATGTTCCATGATCCACCCAGACCCAAGGGTAGACTTTTTCCCCCCCAAATGATGCCTGTGAAAATGTGGAGATGGGAGTCTCGTCATCAACACTGAAAAATGACACCCGTCCCCCTTCATAATCCAGAGAGACCCTGATCCGCCTGGGAGCCTGGATTTCAGGAAATTCAGTGGAATCAGAGGAGGTGAAAGCTATCAAGAACAGTCCCTGTATCTCCACTGCCCAGAGGCCTTCCTCTGGTTTAAACCTAAAACAACCCTTCCTTTTCCCATCTTCTCTAGAGACCCCCACAGCCCATGTTCCTGTATCCTCCTCCACCTCCACCTCCCAGTAGTGTCTCCCCGAGGTGAAGCCGTCACGGCCCAGAAGGCAGCGCCACACATCAAATCTGTTGGGGGTGTCAGGGATGTCCTCTCGTGGGTCACCTCGTGTCACACTTTTGCCATTGTCAGACACAACAAGCTCACAGTGGGCTGTGTCTGGATCCAGAACCACGTTCCCTGCAGGAGAGATGGAATCAGCACATCAGGGCAGGATTCTGCAGATTTGCCTGAAAGTGGGACATGCACCAAATTCAAGGGAGGGTCAGCAGAAGCATGCCTGCTCCCAGCAGCATCACTTGCAGGAGGGGAAGTGCCAGGAAGGGCAATCAGAGCAGGGAAGATGATTCAGCACCATGAAAGACCAAGCTTAGTTACCTTCTTCAATAGGCACTGCGTGTCTTCTCCATGCTTTAAAAAAAACACAAGAACCACAGGTCAGAGGCAATGGAAAACAAGGGTGCTGGGTTAGCTCAGGGTAATGATATGGCAGTGGAGGTGCACATTTTCTGCACTGATGTTCTCTTTGTGAAAGTCATCTCACAGCGAGTTGCTTCAAGACTGCAGTGTCTGACTACATGGAAGGGCTGCACCCATTTTCTCCAAATGCAATCACACTGCCTGTCCTGATTGGGGCATGCATTGATGGTCAGTTTGTACTTTGAGAACTGACAGAATTTTCTTTTTAGTACAGAACTAAGATTACAGGGAAGAGCCTACAACCACACAGAGACCAATGGAAAATAATCTTTGTGAAACAAGTTCTGTATTTGTTCTGTGCCCAAAATGATTCTGCCTGTAGATGGAGACAAAGTTTTAGTGATTCACATGAGAGGTTTGTTGGGTAAAGCTGTTTGGGTTGCCCCTACCTCGGGCCAAGACAAACCCATTCGTGGAGTTGTCTTCGCTCAAGGGGCAGGGTACACCTGGTGGATGATGAGGAAGGATGGAAAAATACAGTGTGTGCCTCAAGGAAATTTATCCTTGGGGAAAAACTAACTTTGTGCTTCAAGTTGTTTTACAGGAGACCAGTCACCAAATGAGAGAGACCTGACCAAAGCTGATACCGGTATCTGACGATGAGACAGTGAACCAGTCCTAAACCTGAACTGTGATTGTAACCAAAGCAACAAGGATCTGAACCAAGCTAATGTTGATGCTGAAGCCGATCTACCACAAGACAACTGCTCCAAAGGACTATATATATATATGTGTATATATGCACGGGATATAAGCAGATACGTGAAATATAAGTGTTACATAAAAATAGTATGGAATAAGGGGTGGAGAATGTAGTGGTTTTGAGTCTAGGCCTTCCTTGGTGACTAGGTTGTAACCAAGGAACCATGGCCATGTTCCCAGTATTCCATACAATTTTTACATAAGCAAGAGTATAAATAAGAAGAGAGAGGAAGCTTCCGGCGGACCGAAGGCAAAGCTTCTCTGCTGTCGCTCTGCCCAGGTGAGGGAGGGAGGCCTGGTGTGCCTACTGGGTCTTGGGAGGCAGATAGTGCCAGTGGTTCTTTGGTGCAGTTCGCTGTTCTCTTGAGGGAACTATTTGCTTTTTATCCTTTTTTATCCTTTTTTCCCTTTTTCCCTTTCCCTTCCCTTTCCCCTTTTGGGGGGTTCCTTGTGGGTTTTATATTGTATATAGTTCTAGTTATATACAAATATGTGTTTCACTTGAAATTCAGTTTGGTTTGGGTTCTTTTGATTTTTTTTTTCTGATCTTTTCGGTCTGCTGTGAGAGAGGCAGAGGGAGGGGGAACGTTTTGTCCCTGTGGTCCGGGCACTTGGCTGGGAGCCAAGTCCAGCCTGGGACACCTGTGAATTCTTCCACTGGAAGGGTTCTCCAATTTGTGGACAATGGAAAGTAAAGCTTACCTATTTCTTTCTGCTGCTTTCCTGCGAAGAAAAGTAAGAAATGCAAATCATTTAAAACTCCTCCCTCCTCCGAGCACTGATGAACCCCCAGCAGGAGTTCCAGCCGCCCGCACGGCAGAAGGGCCGCGGGGCCTGGACGTGCCCGCACGACCCACCGGGCCCATCTCCTCCCAGGGAGACAGAGAGGATTTCAGTTTCCTTCATTCCTCTCTAT